CTGAAATATTTGGATCAATGGAAAAAAGATGTAAATATTGATAAATTTACTTCAACTATGTATTTGAAACCGTAATCTTTATAAAATTCTTACTATTATTAAATTATCCTGAATTAAAGCATGATGGAAAATTACCAAGCACATCTGCCGAGAAAAAACAATTCAAACAACTTATTGAGAATGGTAGGCGGAATGCTGATGAAGAAAATTTTAATGAGGCATTGGCTAATGCGTGGAGAGCCTTTACCCCTACTAAAGTAACAAGCCAAGTTCAAGAAATATTTAATGACCCAGAATGTGAATCTATAACTGCAAATGTATGCATGAAGAATTAATCGCATTTATTTAAAAATATATTAAAAACTCATTAATTAATATCTTTAAATAATATACCTTCTCAATAGTCCTCTAGCTTTTGGATCATTACGCGTGCTATTCGTGATTTCGTTACGAATGAAGGTCAAGGATTATTACCTTTGGCTGGAGCTGTTCCTGATATGAAGGCTGATACTTCTACATATGTCACATTGCAAACTGTGTATGCAACAGATGACTTTTAACTTATTATTTAATTGCAATTATATTTTTATATTTTTTCATTATCTAAATGTATCTTATTCTTCAGTTACCGTCAGAAAGCTAAAACAGATATTGTTACAGTTCGTTCGCATGTTGATAAGATTTTGAGTTCTATCGGAAGAACAAGTGACTTCATCCATGATGATGAAATTGCTAGTTTTTGCAAGCATGCAGCTTTCATACAGGTAATTAGATATAGGGCACTGAAAGAAGAATATATAAGTGATCCAAAAAAAGCAGATATTGGTAAGTATAACATTTAAGTGAACAAAAATATATATATATATGTATACACACATATAAATTAAAAACGTTTTATACAACAATTTTAATAATCTGACTGGTAAATTAATTGTAGATAGATGGCTACAAGACCCGCAAGATAATATTGTTCATTATGTTCTTATTCGAGCAGTAGATAAATTCTATGAAGCTCATAACCATTATCCTGGTATGACATTGAATTTCATCCTTGAAGAATTTTTAATAACATTGTAATTTAAAGATAATTCAAAATATTATTTTTATATTCGGCCACTTTTTTCATTGAAGGAGACTCTGAGGAAGCTACTGAAGAAGCTAAACCTGATTTCGAGTCATTAAAAACTTACGTTAACGTTTTGTTATCAGATTGGCAGATCACAAACATTCCAGATCATCTGGATGATTATATCCATGAAATGTACTATAATATCATTATTATTTTATTAGTTGTTTTTTTCATGAGTTATATTTAACACATATAACATATTTTAGGTGTCGCGCTGGAGGATCAGAATTACCGAATATGGCTTCTTTACTTGGTGGTTTAGTGTCTCAAGAAGTAATTAAACTTGTTACTCGACAATATGTCCCTATAAATAACACCTGTATATTTGATGGAATCAAATCAACTTCGTCGACATATATATTGTAGGATAGAAAAAACTTTATTAAAAGTATGAAGGATTGTATATAGATACACCTAATCAAGTACTTGATTCGTTTTTACCCACATGATTGTCTATTTTTTTAAAACCAAAATCATAAAAAATGAGTAGTTATAAAT